GAAGCAAGAGCTTAAGCTCCCCATCTAGCCTGCAGGTAAGATGAAGATCAAAGCTGCATCAGATTTCGAGTTTGAGCCAGATGAGGCACTACCGTTGAGCAGTTTGAGCCGAGATGATGCTGGAGGGGAGATACTTCTGCTACCCTCGAAGGGCATGGTACCTCGTTTGACTTGACTTTCTTTGTCGGATGAGGTGTTAACCATCGACCCAATGCCACGAGGTCATCACAAGGAACTGACAATTACACATGCCTCTACTGTTGAAGAGTTGAAGACCTTTTATGTGCCTCCTAAGCTTGAGTCTAAAGAGAAAGGCATTTTGTTTTATAAAACTGTTCCTCACGTATTGAACACAGATGTAATGCTTTTAGACGATGAGAATGAAGAAGTAGAGGATATTCCTCTTTCTTATTACTGTTCTCCTCTCATTTATAAAATGCTTGATGTTGGTTTGTTGCCCGAGAGGTGGTCTATTCGCTAAGCCAAATTATTAAAGTCATGTGACAATATAAACCCATAGGGGAAAGTCCAGATTAGGCTATGTTAAGAAACCTAATAGGACCAGACTTCGTACAGCCTCATGCAGAATGATTTCTATGCATGAAGACATTGAGACCCTCACCTCTACTGGTGAGGAGATCAAAGTTAAAGATGCCCCTCCTGAGCTCGAGGACCAAGACAACTGCATAATATGACCACCTCTCGGTTAAGGTGAGGGTCTCTTTGACAGTCGATGAGTTGGTTGAGGTTAACCTTGGGACGGCTGACGATCCTCATCCGACTTATATTAGCAAACTCCTATCGAATTCTATGACGATTAGGATAATAGAAATACTAAAAGAGTTTCGCAATTGTCTTGCTTGGAGTTATGCCGAGATGCCCGGGCTAGCCCCAGATGTGACCATACACCATTTTGCTATCGACCCGAGTGTTGTTCCTGTGAAACAAATACCCAGGAGGATTCACCCCGAGATAGAGCAAAAGGTGATTGAAGAGACCAAAAAGCTATTGATGTTGGATTTATTAGGGAGGTTCTTTACCCTACATGGCTTGCATCATACCCATTCGAAAGAAGAATGGACAAATACGAGCTTGCATATCATACCCATTCGAAAGAAGAATGGACAAATACGAGCTTGCATAGACTTTCAAGATCTGAATAAGGCTTGCCCGAAAGACGATTTTCCCTTACCGATTCTGGAGCTCATGATAGATGTCGCCTCCTCTCATGCGATGTTTTCCTTCATAGATGGTTTGTCCGGTTATAATCAAATTCGGATGGCCTCAGATGAGGAGCAACATACGACGTTTCATACTCCGATCAACATATTTTGCTATAAGGTCATGCCCTTCGGATTAAAGAACGTCAGGGCGACCTATCAACGCGTTATGACACACATTTTTGCTGACTTGCTACATCATTATGTTGAGTGTTACATCGATGAAGATAATCATCTTTCAGACTTGAGGACCGTCTTTGAATGCCTAAAGAAATATGACTTGAAGATGAACCCACTGAAATGTGTCTTTGGTGTATCTTTTGGGAAGTTTTTAGGCTTCATTGTCCGTCACAGAGGCATTGAAATCGATCCTATTAAAATTAAATCCATCATTGAGATGGAACCTCCTAAAAGTTTGAAGCAGTTGTGTTCCCTACAAGGGAAGCTCGCTTATATTAGGAGTTTCGTTTCGAACCTTTCTGGTCGATGTCAGCCCTTTTCTGCGTTGACTAAGAAAAATGTTCGTTTTCACTGGGATGAGGCACGTCAGCATGCTTTCGACGGTATCAAGTGCTACTTGCTGAATCCTCAAGCGTTAGCAACGCCGGTCCCAGGTAGACCCCTCATTCTCTATATTGCCGCTCTTGATGAGTCGATAGGAGCTTTATTGGCTCAAAAGAATGCAGAGGGGAAAGATAACGCCCTATATTATCTTAGTCGGCGTTTCATACCCCCTGAGATGAGATACCACCAATTGAAAAGCATTGCTTAGCTTTGGTATTCTCGGTCCAGAAGTTGAGGCATTACATGCTCTCACACCATGTCGATTTGATCTCAAGAGTAAACCCTTTGCAGTATCTCATGACGCGTCCTATATTAGCTGGACGGTTGGCTAGATGGGCCATGATATTATCCCAGTTTGACATTTCCTATGTCTCTCAACGGGCTGTTAAGGGACAGGCATTAGCTGGCTTTTTAGCAGCTCACCCGGTCCCAGCAGATTCGCCTCTAAATGACGCTTTTCCTGATGAGCATTTGATGGCCGTCGATGCCCCAGAGTGGGAGATGTACTTTGATGGGGCCTCTTCCTTGAAAGAAGGGCCACCAGGGTCTCTCCAAAGGTGCAATCGAGGATCAGATTGATTTTCGTATTGCCCGAGGGTGGCATTCTCCGCTACTCTTACAGTTTAACAGAACCATGTACGAATAACGTCGCTGAATATGAAGGCTTAATTGTAGGACTTGAGTTGGCTATCCAAATGAGCATTACAAGAACCAAGATTTATGGTGATTCACAACTCATTATAAGCCAGGTCTTGGGGACCTATAGTGTCCTCATGCCCGAGCTTCTAGCCTATCATGAGAAGGCAATGATAATGTTGAAGCTCATTCCCGAAGTCGCTCTTATTAGGATACCTCGATCCCTCAATGACAAGTCTGATGCCCTTGCTAAATTGGCTAAAGAGCTATCAAGTCCTGACGGAAATCCTGTGACAGTCGTGATCCGAGAAAGAAGAATCTGGTCACTGACAATTTCTAGCCCTTCGGGCGACGTGCCCTGATACACCTAAAATATATAGTGTTTTTAGACACATTTTTTTACCTATTTTTGAGATATTGCGCTTTAATGAAAGATATTTTTGTGTTTTTCTTTCAGGTACAAATAAAAATGTGAAAAACGCTTAAACGAGTGAAAAAGAATCAAATTTGGAGTAAATAGGTAAAAAATATGCAAAAGTGTTTTGGCGACTAAGCGCCAGATTCGGCGCTTAAACGCCAGGTAAACAGAGAAGACCGCGCCTAAGCGCCGTAGGCCTCGTGCTTAAGTGTTATTGGCAGTTATTGGATGAGTAAATTCAGTTTTTGCGAATTTTGAAGAGATTTTTGAGGCACCTATTGACTTAATAGGTGATTACAACAACCATGGACGAAAACTATTGCGAAAGGATGCATCTCTTGGGGAAATACATCAAATCAAGACACATTTTGAAGATATACCAAGACACCTTTTGGAGAATTATAAAAGAAAGAAGATTGAAACTTTGAAAGATGTCCTAAAAGTACTGGAAAAGTTTTGAAAGTTAAAAAATTGAGGAGTTAGTTGGAGAGATTTTCAGGCACCACATATTTATCCTTTTTTTATTTCTAATTTTATATTGAGAGTGTTGTAAAAGAGAAGAGATTCAAAGAAACTTCAAGAGTTTGGTGGAGGACTTGAGATAAATTTTTATCTTTTGTTTTAGACTACTTTTGGTTTTAATTGAGACTTGTTGTTGGTTTGACAATGATTTCTACTTTTAAACTAAAGTGTGGTTTTGTTTTCTTCATGGATTCTGAGTAGTTTACTTTTATCTTTCTTTTCAAAATAATAATTAATTAAGTGTTGGATGAATTTCCTCATTGCATTAAAATTAAGGAAGATTTACATATATACCTTTCCTATGTATTTACATATCTAATGCCCGAACTTCAATTTTTACATACCTATCCGGCTACCCATGTGTGAATGGTTGAATTTTACTTTTTAAAAATTAAAATGATAGTATTTTTTAAGTGATATGAAAGATTTGAATGGTATAAATGTAAAACATAAAGTTTAGGTGCTTGATATGTAAATACATAAGAATTAGGGGGATGTATGTAAATCCCCTAAAACTATTTACATCATATGCGAGTAAATGATTGTTGTTTGCTTAGTGTAATTAATTAAATAAATCAATCAATTTTGTGGAATTATTATCAAACAAAAATTTGAATATTGTTTTAAATAATTTATTAGAATAATTAAATCGAATTATTGAAGTTAATTGGAGATAATAAAGAAACTCATGTATTTTCTCATAATTTGATTTGTTAAATACAAAATTTGAATAATTAATTATTATATAATGATTATTTCAATGTGAAATATTATTAATAAAATATTTATCATCGATTAATATTTTCTCTAATTAATTATTGTGATAATAAAATAATTTAATTATTTGTTAATTAATTCATTTCCATTATTTTAAATAATTTGTTAGCAATTAATATTGAAAAATTTATATCAATATAAATATGAAGGCCAATTAGGAATTGTTGGCTTGAGAACTTAAATAGTGTAATTGTATGTATACTATTTTATTCTTTCTTATCATATATTGAATTAATAATAATAGAATATTTTAATACCCATTTTTAAAATTCTCATTCAAATATCAAAATTCAAAATAATATATGTATGCCTTGTACCTGGCCAGTTGGTTGGCATCCTCGGTGTAATGCCGCTCAAGTCGAGGATTTGAATACTCCCCGACACAATTAGTCTTAAGGTACTCGAATTGTTAAACACATTAGAAGCGGCTGACGACTCCTATAATAGCCTTTGGTCATTTTTTATATAATATACATGGATGTTAATTTAATGAATTCATAAATTTCAGATGTTTATATATAAATTTTTTTTTTTAATAGTAGAAAAGAAGTTTTACAACCTACAACTCAATTCCTATGATTTATACATATAACACCTAAATTTTAATATTTACATAAATATCACATTAATTATTCATGAAAAAAGATAAATTTAAATTTGAAATTAACCTGAAATAGGTAAATACATAAGAATTGGATTCTATTTATGTAATATTTAAAAATATAAAATGATAATTTTAAATTTTGGATATAAAGGGCATGGGAAGGCAGAGCATCATAGTCGTCGGATCTACATCAAGCATCGTGTAAATGATGCGATAAATTACAAGCGTGCCACCTTAATATGCCTACTCTTCTGATCGCTATAAATTGACCAATGTAGCTCCCTGCTTCGCCTTTGACTCTCTTCAGCCCGCCGATCTTCGAACATCTTTGTAAGTAGCGAGTTCTCTTCTTTATCTTTGGTTTTCTCTCTCTATGTATCTTCTATCCTGTCTTGGTCGATTCTTGCGTATGTTAGTCTTATTTAGCTTATCTGTGGAAGTTTGTTGTTGATTTCTAGGGTTTGGAGTTTTCTTTTTCAGATTTTAGCTGGGAATTTTGTTGCTGTTGTTGGGAAAGATTTGGGGTTTGGTTTAGTTTTTTTGGGTGTTTACTTTGCGGGGATCTGGGATTTTGGTTTGAGTTTTTGCTTTGATTGATTTGTTATAGAAGATTACTTGATTGTTTGGAGTAGGAAAAATTTGGGGTTTTGTTTCTTGTCGCGTGATTATGCAGTTGTCTTGGTTCTTAAAGTATAAATCTTTTGTTTTTTGGTCTGATTCTGTATTATTCATATTTGGAGGCTTGAAGTTGGTTTAGCAGGGAGAGATTGTGTTTTCATGGCATTTATGTAGTACTGAAATCTTGGATTCCTACTGCTTGCTTGAATTAACTGAAATATTTGTGCTTTTTTGAAGTACTATTTATTTATTTAATGTATTATTAGTATTTTTTTGCTTTCTTCATTGATGCAAAATGCTTCTATGTGAGTAACGAACAATTTTTTTTTATGTGGATGTTGACAATTTTTCATGCTTCAAAGCTTTGCTTCTATGCTTTTATGTAGCAGATTTGGGAACCCTTATTATTATTATTATCATTATTTTTATTTTTACGTTTGAAAACCAAATGCATTTATTTTTTATTTTTCATGTCTTTTTGTAGCTTGTACTTAAGCTATCTAAAATTGATGGAGAATAATTCTTAAAGGTAGACTCAAATGGTTGGGAAAAGGCTTCTTTTAATTCATAAACATCCCCCCAAATCAAGTGCATTTTTTTTTTGGCTCATTGTACAAATCTTACAATATCATCTAATAGCCATGTTGGGTTGGATTTGACTTGTTTTTGTCTCAGGGTTGTTCAAGTCAGGCTTATTATTGCCAATAAGTTAAAATAATATATGATATAACCTTTGGCATAGGGAAGCTTGCCTCTTGTACTGTTGTTATAGAGTTTACATAATGTTTAAGAAGGACTTGATTTGTAGATACAATGATTTTGACATTATTCACCCAATTTATTTGAATGACATGGATGATTCTGATGAGTAGTTAACATAATAGTTGGATGATAAGTTAGATGTGTAAGATCAATTAATGCTTGGTAAACAAAAGTTAAGCTGAAGTAATATTGCAAGAGCTAATATTTTCTTTGAAAGAAATTACAACATTTAAGATTGATGTGAAGGAAGATAGAAGGAATCTTCATCTAGACCTAGTGTATTTCCCCAACGTATTGGCTCATGAACATGGAAATGATAATGAATATTGTGGTTTATGAGATGATAATAATGGAAGAGGTGAGACTATTGTGTTTATGACGGTGATGGCTCTCATCTAGTACTAACACATTTGTAGATGAACATTATAGTTCATGATAGTGTTGACCTTGTTAGTCAACCCATTTGTTCACATCATATTTTCATTTATTGTCATAGAATTATTACATCATGATCACCTTGGATGCATCTAACAAATGCTTTAACCTTTGTTTGTATATTTTTGCATATTATACTTGCATAATATGCTTATTTTTAAATTATTAAAAAATATATTCTTTTTATATCTTTTCATGCATATAGAAAGATAGAATAGTTGAGAAAATATTTAGATGATTGATATGTCCAAGAGAATTCGCGACGGTAGAATGATTATTTAATGTCTTATTGTCGCAAAAGAACCCAACACATACTCAGATAATAGAAAATGACAGACATAAACAATAGAAGATTTTTATATGAAAAACTCAGAATGAGAAAAAAATCACGGGGTCTTACCCAGTTGAAAAGATCCATTATAAAGTGATGATTACAGATACAATCCCCCATTACACGTGGGGGAAGGAGTTACACATTCTCTCGAGCTACAATGTCAGTGCGTTGAATGACTTGTAGCTCCGCGGTAGTGAGCGATCGCAAGGAGGAGCAATAATCGAGGCTTCAATGTGCCTTCTTTAGGGTTGACACGACGTCCGGGTTGATGACTTTCGCTTCATTGGTTGTTTTATACGATGTTTCTTTGCAAGGAGCAGGGGCTGACTAATGGTGATCGGCAATGAAATGCGAGTGGTAGTCGATGAAGTTTGACGACGGTCGATGGCTGCAGGAGCAGGAGTTCTTTGCTGGATTATCGGTGCAGAAGTGATGATGGGCTTCAACTTTTTCTCCAAGCTTAAGTCTTCTCCAAGCTTCAAGCTCTAGATCCCCTCCCATGACGCGATAAGACTATTTATAATCTCGGTTGCAATTAATGAAGAAATCCAAGTCACTCTGATTGGAATTCCTGGAGAAATTTTCTCGATTGAATGGTGTTTGATGGACATTTGAATGTCTTAATGATGTGATAATTGAGTAATTTTGGAATCATTAGTTCGTTTTGTCGAATGCTCGATTCGACTATAAGCTCGCTAGATTCGACATCCGTTTGACCTTTCAAATATGTCCAGAATGCTTTGGATTAATCCAATTTTGGTATCATTGAGTCCGTCTCGTCGAGCCGGTCAGTTTCACTATAAGTTTGTTGAAATCAGAGCTTTGGATGATTTTTAATCGAAGTTTGCATATTTCTTACTCAAAAGTAGCCTTGAGATCTGTGACATGCCTCAAGATTCATGCTGGATGACGAAAATTTGTTCGTGAAATATTAATTGCCCATATTTTCGTGCAGGGCCAACTTCATCGCTAGAAAATATCAAAATCCGAATTACTTTTCTTTTCATGATATTTTCATTATATAAATTAAAATAATTTTGATCTCTTCTTATTTTTTTATTTTATTTATTTATTATTTTTTTATTTGCATGGGTTTTAATATAATAACACATATTTTATATGGTTTTCATCCTTTGCCTGGCTAGTCACATGAGTATATGGATAAAAATATGCATTTATTTGCATATATCTTCCCTATTGGCAAGGAAGCTACTTCTGGTGTGGGTTTGCAGGGGATTTGCTTTGAATTCATCCTTACTCAAACATAAATTGTTCTTTTTTATTCGGTGGGCTGCCGAGCTTTGTTATTTGATGCGAGTAGGGCTGTAAACGAGCCGAGCTTGAGCGAGCTCAGGCTTGGCTCGTGTTCGGCTCGTTCGAAATAGCTCGTGTTCGAAATTGGCTCGTGTTCGAAATCGGCTCGTGAACAGTGTGTTCGTGTTCGACTCGATTTAAATATT